TCCAAAGAAAATAGATTTTAATAGATTGTTCCACGGAAAATCGATTATAATAGATTTATTCTAGAAATCAATTATTTAGATGATTTGCTGAAAAATCAGTTTTGATTGATTATCGGTTGGAGAAATCTATTTTAATGAATTATTTTATTGAATTTAATCAGAATATTATGTGTTTAATCAATTTTTTTGTGATTTTTGGTTCAAAAATCTAATTTAATCTAATTTTCTAATCGTTTCTTTTTTTAAACGAAAAAACTCATTAAGAGCAGCCTTTAATTAAATAAAAGATTTTAATTAGTTTTCGAACATCCTACGACGTTTCGACAATTTTATTGTCATTATCAAGTAGTAAATCGATTATACAATTAATGCAAAGATTTTACATAATTTATCATGAAGAAATGTAACAAGAGAGAGAAGACAAGAGAAGAGTATATACAATTTGTGATGGGTGAGAGACGAATGACAATTTAGTGAATAAGAACAAGTATCAGAGGAGAATAAGAGTGAGTAATAGACAATTATTAGTTACAAAGATTATTATGAATAGATATAAGTGAGTAGTTGATAAATACTATATACAATATTATTATGATCAGGTGTGAGTGAATAGTTGACAATTATAATATATAAGATTATTCTGATCAGGGTGTGGGTGTGGGTGTGGGTGTTGGTGGGGTGTGGGTGTTGATGGGGTGTGGGTGTTGGTAGGGTGCGGGTGTGGGTGTGGGTGTGGGTGTGGGTTTAACTGGAGAGAAGACCCACACCCACACCCACACCCATGCAAGTATTCATAAGATTCATCATAGTTGTTTACTATTTTTTTTCTTTCTCTCTTCGTCTCTCTCTCACGCATACATCGAGACAGTCTCACTTCAGGTACTTTGTTTAGTTCTCATAAAAGGTCCTTGGAAAGAGAATGAACAATAGTTAATTTTTCAAACGCATTTGTTCACTATTTTTTCAAAATGCGCGCTATTTACGTTTTTTTTCGAAAATCCTTTAAGAAAACTCGAGTCCATACATACGAATACTAGACAACACAAATTAAGATTCGACAATCGAATCGTTTTCATAGATCAGTTTTATATTGACCAACTTGTCTGTTTTTCAGTAGGTAGGAAAGGATGCACAGGTCAACTCCTTTTATCTGTATTTGGTTGAAGAGTTTCTTTTCTTAACTAAAGTCTTCAATCATTCAGACCATACTGATAGAATTGAGATTCTTTAAAAATTATCTTTCGTGAGCTTCTCCCAATGATCTAATACTTTCTTTCATAAAAAAATCTTCAACTAAATACGGATATAGAGAATTAACATATGCATCGTGCCCTATCTACTGTAAAGTAAACAAGTTGTTCTGCAGATAGTGCTCTTTGGAAATGATTCGATTTCCACAATGTACTTTGGCTTTTCTTTGATTCGTGAATATAGATTCAGCTTTTTCCTAAATAGTTTTAGAGAACTGTATTTGAATTTGAAGTTTGTATGGAAATTTTTGGAAATAAAAAGTGACTTTTTACTATTATTAAACTAGTCTACCTTCTATCCCAATTATCATGTTAAATTTGCATTGCGATATACTATCGAGAATAAATATATCAATGGCAAATAGTGCCTGCCAAAAGAAGCTTTTTTATATGTCGATACACTTGGAATTAAATCATACAAAAAATTATGTTCATTACAGCTTATGCGTTTTATTTCATGATTCTAGTGCTCTTTCAATTACATTATCTGTCATCGTAAAAAGTATCATTTATCCCTTTATTTTCCATTTATTTTTTAAAAATAAACGATTCATTTACATTTATTTTCTAAAAATAAAGTATTCCTTTATTTATTTAACTTTATTTTTTAAAAATAAATGATCATTTATCTTTATTTAAAAAAAATAAAGGATCCATTTATCTTTATTTTTTAATAGTAAAGGATTCATTTATCTTTATCCTTTATTATAAAGGAAAGTAAAGATAAAGGGTCACCCCTAGTCTTGACGCGTTTTCTTTTTTTTCTTTTTCTTCCTTAGCCGAAGCGAGGACATCCACCATAGTACTCTACATCGAACACACCATGTTAGCAAGCTTGCGTTGTTTTTTCTCGGCTGATAGAAAGAGAAAAACGAGAGAAAAAGAGGAGACGGCATTCTCGTGGATTGCATATAATTGTCTTGACGCGTTTTCTTTTTTTCTTTTTCTTCCTTAGCCAAAGCGAGGACATCAACTATAGTACTCTACGTCGAACACACCATGTTAGCAAGCTTGCGTTGTTTTTTCTCGGCTAATAGAAAGAGAAAAACGAGAGAAAAAGCAGAAGACATCATTCCCGTGGATTACATATAATTGGTGAAGATTTTCTCGTCGACAAAAAGTTCGTCGACATAGGGAGTCGTCGACAACTTCTTTGTCGACAATTACTCTATCGAAGGTCATACGTGAGTTCCTATATGATTAGCAGAAATTCAGCTGACTGATACTCTATTTGCACAAAGATGACCAACTAGGAATATAGCTATGGTGAAGATACATTGAAATAGAATAAATGTAAGTTTTGTGCCCCCCCAAATGAAAACATTCTTGCGTGAATTGGGTCATTTTATTACTTGCAATTGTGATACAATTGTCGCGTAAAGAACTAAACAACTGTTTGTAGAATTTCTTCATTCATCTCTATATCATGAATACTGACTCTTTTGCTCTCTCGCATATAGTATTTCGGAAAAAAGCAAACCTATGATCCAATTCCATGGATACATCTACACATTAGAAAAGGATCTTCGTAAAGAGTGTGAAGTCGAGAATGAATGTGTTTGTTGGTAACGCCACATATCCACACCGACATCCTCACCGGTTCCCCACATTTTCTCCCAACTACAAACATTCACTCACCCTCCATAGGCATGATTGTTTTTCTAAAACTTGACGATTAAACATCGGTCGACAAAGTTCCATGCCGATCGATGTCTTGCCAGCAAAGTTCCATGTCCACAAATGTCTTGTCGACAAAATAGTCGTTCGAGAAAAGTTGTCAACGAACAACATCACTACCATTCTCGTAAATGGTATTCCGCATGTCTACTCGTATTAATCCGACTAGCCTCGTGCGCTCTGCGAATCTATAGTCGACGATGATTTTATTGCTAGACTTGTGCTTGTAGATTGTGGCCTTCGTCACCTCACACCATGCTCCGTTGTCTTCGGAAAAAAGCGCCCGACGCTGATCCTAAACAGCACGTGTGCAGTCCCACGGAGAATGCTCTGATTCAGCTAACACAACGCTTTCATGGTCTCAGCCGATTGGGAGAAGTTCTTCACCTGCAAGGACCGTACATCTCTCTGGAACAACTGAACAGGGCCGTTGCTCGTCTACAACGTCGCCATCCTGCCCTACGAAGCCGTCTTCGAACTCACCCGACCAAACGCGACTGTTTTGTGCTCGAAGAAGACGAAACGCTACGACTGCCTGTGGAAGAGGTAGCACGCAAGCGTGAGGAACGTGCCAGTTTTTGGCTGCAGGAATGGCCCAAGCGAGAAAAGGAACCAATCAACATTGATGATCCGTTGGCTAAGCTGTGGCTGCTGCAGGTAAGAGTCCGACCACGCGAGATCGGAGTAAAGGCGACACACGAGGGCTGTTTTAGGATCCGGACGATAAAGAAGACGCGAATGGATTTCGCGAGGTGGTACTCATGTGTGAGCACAGCATTTGTGATGGCCTGTCTTTGAGTAACGCTGCTCACGAACTGCTGCATATTCTCTCAGACGAGACCGGGCATGCATGCGAGCAATCGTTACCTTGGCCGGAGACGATGGAGAATGCTATTCGAAACAGTCTATCGGCCGTGAACCGAGTGTTCACGCTGAGTCGATTCCTTTTCTCCACAATCTACACATTTATGACTAACAGATTACCGATTGCAAGAGTGCCCCTTGGCGAAGTCGACTACAGTATCGATGAGATGGATAAATACTGCCATACGGAAGTCGTTTATGGCGTTTTGAACAAAGAAATGACGACCAAGTTACTCGCTAGATGTCGCCGGGAGGGCGTAACGGTAACCTCCGCTGTGACCAGCGCTGTCATATCGGCAGCAGCTAGTTTGGTACCAGTCAAAGATGACCAAGATACGATCATGATCATTACGCTGAGCGCCGATACTCGACGACGTTGCGTACCGCCAGTTCCTAATCACGATTTGAGTTACCACGCTTCTGGCATTGCGCCATTTGGTCTGCGTGTAAGCACTGCGCCCAAGACGCTCGAAGGTTCGTGGCAGTTGGCGCAGACCTATGGTCAACATACGAATGCGTGCGTCGACGCCGATCAAGTACTCGGGTGTGGTATGATCACAGCGAAGGCCTACAAAATGATGCTGGATCCAATCAATATGGCTTATATGCCAACATATGGCACGTCCAGTTGGGGTGTTTTGCCATTCGTTGAACAGTACGGTCCGTGGCAGCTCACCGCCATGACTCCATTCATGAATCTTCTTCGATCCGCGTTTCCTTTCACTATTATTCAGACGGTGAATGGTGTTTTGACGATGATGTTCGGCGGTGCCTATCCTCTCATTCCTGCGAGCGTATTGACTGCCTTACGCGATCAATGCATGGACGCGTTACAGCAGATGATAGTCAACTAGATTATCTTATCGGTATGATCACTGTCGAGCAGAGCATTTCAACAAAAACCTCCTGCGATTTACAGAACCGTTTGCTTTTGTTCATTTATTAATAGTTATTCAAATAAATAGAATTCTGTTAACTTTGAACTTCTCAGAATTATAATATTCTTTTCTTCAAAATTAATCAATGATGGAATTGAAACAAGTTCAATAAAAGAACAATATCGCAATTTTCTAATTACATAAAATATATGGTATCATTACATTTGTGCCTGATGCATTCTAAAAGAATAATTTTATTTTCAAATTCTAACAAAAACTGATCGATTTATTCTTAAATTTTCTTTTATATTTATATATATCAAAAGTTCTATCATCGATACATTGATGAATTAATTAATGGTATTTCAATAAAAAGCATTCCATCATCCATAACTTGTGCTGTAACATTATATTTATCAATTCCATCAGGTAAACGAATACTTTGACCAAATTGTTTACTGTCTGTTGATTTCGATGATGATGATTTTTTTCTTCCTTGTACTAACAAATTATCATCTAATAAACGTACAGTCAATTCATCTGGTTCATAACCACGTGTATCAACTTTTAAGAGTGAGTTTGAAACTGTAAAATTATACGAGTTAGAAAGCAAAATAGTCATATCTCTTGTCCACGGATATATCTTAGAATTTGAGCAAGATGCAACCACATGGATATGTCTAAACAAGTACGAATAACTTGTAAAGAAAGATCATAAAATCAAAGCAGGAATCGAACCTACATCTCCCGATAACCGGTCAGTTATTCTACCGTTAAACTATTTGATTTTCTCTCCAGTTAGTTGATAACTGCATATTGGAACATTTGTTCAAAATTCATAGATACCAGGACAATAAAGATGTCGACTAAAAAGAATAAACTCGTATTGCTGCACGAATACTTAGAAACCTAAATGAAGGCCCAAGTAAAATCATCTGAAATAGCAAAACAGAACTCACAATCCACGAAAGGGTGTGGGTGTGGGTGTGGGTGTGGGTAGGGGTGCAACAAATCTTGAGTGGATTTGGGATTTGTGACTGTTAGAGTGATGTATGCGGAGCGATGTTTCGGTTTATACCGGCTCGTTTATTTAGAGAAAAACATCGGTATATATATAAGTGACGTGAATAAAAGAAAAAGGAATACAAGGGTTAATCGAGGTCAGAAAAGAGATGAGATGATATCATACGATATATGTGAATACATATATCATATAACGAAAGGAGAGAAAATAAAGAATCGAGACATATGCACTGTAACAGTGACCAAATCCTTTGGATTCGGATTTGGATTTGGATTTGAACTCAGGATTGTAGCTATGTTTGGGATTTGGGATTTGAATTTGGATTTGATTTGGGACTTGTGTACAAGACTCAGATTTGGTTTTGGGATTTGTGTACAAGACTTAGATTTGGTTATTGGATTTGTGTATTTTAGATTTGGATTTGGCTTTGGGCTATCTTATAGGGGTACCCATGGGTCCTCAAGTGCTATTATATGAGGGCACCCATAGGTCCTCAAGGCAAGGAGGAAACAGCGGACTTCAAGACTTCAAGACTTCAACAGACTTCAACAGACTTCAGCCGCAGTGACTTCATATTTTCACAAGACTTCAAAAGACTTCTAAAGACTTCTGAAGACTTTATAGGACTTCAAATGGCATCGCAAGACTTCATAAGACTTCGTATGACTTCATGGGACTTCATGAGACTTCAAAAGACTTCCAAAGACTTCGTTAGACTCCACAGACTTCGTGAGACTTCACGGACTTCATGAGACTTTACGGATTTCATGAGACTTCACAGACTTTGTAGGACTTCTTGAGACTTTATAAGACTTCATCAGACTTCACAAGACTTCGCCAGACTTCGCAAAACTCCATAAGACTTCACAAGACTTCGCTAGACTTCATAAAACTTCATAGGACTTCACAAGACTTCAAGAGGCAGATTCCATGCGTATCAAAAAACCTTATAGAAATTACATGAAACTTCTATAACATGCAAAAAACAAAACTTATCATATAGAGATTACAAAGGTGTTTCTAGTTTCTGAGAGTTGTTTCTCGCAGTATATCTATATCTGGAATAAAGATATGGCAATGACACAAAGCGTTGATGAAATTAAAACAGAGAAAATAATCTTTACTGGTACGCGTGTATTAGATTCGATTAATCCAGCATTGAAAAACTACTATTTTCAGATGAAAATAAATAACAAGACTAAATCTATACACAAGCAAACGGCTGGTTGCTTATTGACCGACAAAGCTAGCCGTTTATCGGCTGATAGATTATCACAAGTGATAGAAACAAACAAAAAGGAATAAAATTCTTCATAAGATTGACATCGAATAGATGGACACATTTCTTATAAAAATAAATCATTTCATTCAAAAAGCATTCAGTTATTAACTATCATGTTTTCTAAGATCCAACAAACTTGAATTTTTTCCAGCACATTGAAAAAAAACAATAAAAGGTTCACCTTTCTGCTAAAATAAGATCATCGAAAACAAGACAATTTCATCAGTTTCTTATGAATCTTCATGCACTAAATGTATTTCAAAACTTCCAGAAGAATTCATGAGACTTCATTAGACTTCAAGCGACTTCAAGAGACTTCATGAGACTTCATGAGACTTCATGAGACTTCATAAGACTTCATGAGACTTTATTAGACTTCATGAGACTTCATAAGACTTTATGAAACTTCAGAGACTTCAAAAGACTTTATGAGAATTCATGAGACTTCATAAGACTTCAAGAGACTTCATAAGACTTCAAGAGATTTCATAAGACTTCAAGAGACTTCAGAAGGCTTCGAAAGACTTTCAAGACTTCATGAGACTTCACGGCCGAAGTCTCTGCTGTTTCCCCCTTGCCACAATGGCTATCCTATGGAGGTGCCCATGGTTCCTGAAGAGCTATTATATGGGAACATCCATAGGTCCTCAAGGGCTATCCTATAGAGGTACCCATGGGTCTTCAAGTGCTATTCTATGAGGGCACTCATTGACCCTCATGTGTTATCCTATGGGGATACTCATAGGTCCTCAAGCGCCATTGTGTGGGAGTACCAACAAGTCCTGAAAGCCTATTATATGGGTGCACCCATGGGCCCTCGAGGGCTATCCTATGGAGGTAACCATAGGCCGTCAAGAGTCATTATATTGGAGGACCTATAGGTTCTCAAGAGTCATCCTACAGGGGTATCGCATAGTCTCTCAAGAGTTATTATAGGAGGGTACCCATAGACCCTGAAGGGAGTAAGGTAATGAGGGGATAATACTACAAGAGCTACAAGGGGATATAAGGTTATAGGCCCGAAAGCTAATGAAGTATCAAAATATGTGTCATGTAAGAGTATGAGGTCGTGGGCTATCTATATACACAATGTGGAGTGTCTATATGGCTGTTACTGCGTGAAAGGACAGAACAACCGTGCAGTATGCATGGGCTCATGCCAGTAAAAATTTATAAAGCGCTAAATGCTTCCCAAAGTGTAAAGCTATTAGTACCACGTTAGTCATAACTTTCGATGGCACAACGCGTTAGAATATATTGAGCAAGATTATCAGCTTAGTCAAAGATCTTTTCATAACGGTATATAGCAGAATGTTCGTATTTCTAGCTTATGTTCAGATTCGTTTTGGTGAAGAACATGTCTCCATATTGCTCTAATGTTTAGAATCTTGAATCCATTAAGTAGATCTCCGTCTGTGTCTGTCTCTCAGACCTATTATGGACTTCAAAACTCAATTATTTAGACAAAAAAAATTACTATAATATGTAGAAAAGTATTTTAAAAACAGACACGAGAACATGATTCGGTAGCTCATAAGACTATGGTAACGAAATATTATTTAGACTTTCTTGTTACTAATTAACTTGCGAATTTTATTGAAATATTTCTCCGTTGTATAAGAACCTTTTACATTATTTTCTAAATCTTTTCTTAAAAAAAGTATCGGTGAAGTGGATTAATCACGTTGTTCATGAAACGGAAAGATACGTTTGTTTTTTTATTTGTATTACAAGATACTAGTATGACAGTAAGAACTTGATTTATGAATTAAGAAAAGTTTACTTGAAAATTACTAGTACAATGGACATCATATAATCTCGAAATTCGGTCTTGATCCCGTTAAAATTTGTTTTGGTTCCCTACTCGATACCGATGAAATGTAAATTTTTGATTTGGGTACCAGTTCTCGGCGTTCTGAGCGTGGGTTTGGGTGTGGGTGTGGGTGTGGGTGTGGGGTGTGGTGTGTGGATGGGTGTGGGTGTGGGTGTGGGTGTGGGTGTGGGTGTGGGGTGTGGTGTGTGGATGGGTGTGGGTGTGGGTGTGGGTGTGGGTGTGGGCATGAACTTCTCTTCTCTCACACATATACCCACACCCACATTCACATC